TTGGAAGTTTTGTTGACATTGTCTTCACATAATGGGCCGCATGAGTAGATATAAGAAAATAAAATCGTGTGATCCATTTTACAAAGGACCGAGGAAAGACAACGCCTCAATCAGGTGAGTATTTCGATTTTGATAATCTATTTTTATGTAATTTTAAAAAAGCTCACTTATACATGATGACTATGTACGTTTAGTTTAAAACTGCTTTGGGTGAAACGGTGCTAAGCTTAAGCTAAGCTTATCTATATTCTTACGTTTTCTTCAAAGGCAAATCTCGCCGTTTTGTCTCGCCCTTGAGCAGCGAAAGGAAATCAAACAACTGTCAATACAGAATATGATGAAAGAACTGAAAGGGACTGGGTATATTTAGCACTACTTGCAGTACACGTGACTCATAGACCACCTTAAAAATTTATACCTGTCAATTTTTTGTGAATCACAGGCAAGAGATATTTATCCTTTGAGGACTGAGAGTGCCTGGATTTTCTAGGTAGCCCAACCAGATTCAAAGCCATCCAAAGAAAATTTATTAAGATCTGAAGAATTTTCTGACAATGTTTCAAACTTCCCACTCCTGATCCCAAAATGCGCTTCACTAACATAACAGTAAATTCATAATTGATTGGTGCCAAAATCACAATACACGTCACTAGTCGTGACTAATCAGAAATCCATCAATCTCTAGCTTTAACTACCTGCAACACTGTTTACCNAGGCAGTGGAAAGAAGTTAGCAATGCAGTCTGACAAAGTGCGGAATATTAGGCGCCATTTTTACCCTTTGTGTTTTTCAGATAGTGTTCGGTTTGGAGATGTTGTAATGCAGCCGCCTTCTCTTACAGCAAAACCCAGAAAAGCAGCTCAAACAAAGAAGGTATCGAGAACCATTGATCAAGAAAAACGGTTTTTTCGAAAGTAGTGATTCATTTACATAAGTTGTGAAACTGCTCCATGATCTTAAATTTTCCGACGCATTCTATGCAGGCAAACATTCTGTTGTTGATATACAAACGATACTAGTTAATGGCACAAAAGTTGTCAGAAAACCCTTGGAAAACCTTTGAAAGCTCTCTTTCAGTTCTCTTTGGCTCATCACACGACCCATCTTTCCACTACCGAGAAGCATTGCGTAGCAATGCAAATAATGACTTAAGGGACTGCTCATTTTTTCTGAGATAAAGGGGGCGGGGTGCTGGTCGGATTTAGGGGGGACGTGCCAAGAAACAGGCTTCAAACGAGGGGGTGTCTGAAAAAATATAGCGCGTACGGGGGGCGGGGGTCATTCAAAATAATTACTATGCGACTATGATAGTGCTAGAGGATTGCCTAGTTTCTTTTATGTGTTTTCCTTTCCTTGTGGTAGGGATCGAAGACGCTGTTACTCCACTCGTTAGTCTCGCAAGAAAAAGACCCGAACTGTGACACAAATGCGCAAACTAAGACTTCAGTAGGTGCTGGGCTGCCGAAAGCCAAGAAACGCAAGCATATGTCAGCTCTTGAACAGGATAAAGCTGACAAGGAGAGAGAACGCGCCATAATGGCGTACAGACTGATGCGAAAACAACGTCTGCAAGAAAAGAACGGTGTCGTGTGAAGCAAAAAGAGTTGCGTGGATGTCGTGCGTGGATTGCATCCGCAGCAGCAAGTCCCGATGAAAAGTTTGTTGCGAAAGTTTTCGTATAACGCGAAAAAGTTGTAGCTCGCGATAAAGATCTCCAAGGAATTGACAGTTATTACCAACTCTTTGGAAGCACACAAGTTATCTGTCACCTGGCTGTCTTTCAATTGTGAGGAAATGACTGCCTATGGCTTGCACAGGTTACAGGTTGCTTGTCCTGCCGGCTTTTCCTCCTTCTGCGATTTTTTTTTTT